ATGGGTGCTGCCTCTGAGGGCAGAATTGTCTCATCCGGTAGGGTATCTCATGAGCCACAAGCTACTAGTGGCACCCATCAACCCAAGAGCAAAAAGATGAAGAATTTCACTATTATTGCTTCTTCGAATGTAAGAATACAAAAAGGAAAGTTAGACATCAAACAGGAAATGTCTAGATTGAAGATCAACATACTTGGACTATGTGAGGTAAGGTGGAAGGGCTCTGGCAAGGTAACATTGGACGGCTTTACCATCATCTACTCAGGAGGAACTAAGCATGAGAAGGGTGTAGCGGTACTCATCTCAAAGTCACTGAAAGGTTTTTGGGCAGTGTCAGACAGAGTGATGATGATCAAGCTCAGTACTAAACCACTTGATCTAAAAATCATTCAGGTGTATGCACCAACTGCAGACAGTACTGAGGAAGAACTTGAAACATTTTATGACGACATCGAGCAGGCATTGAAACAGAGCAAGTCAACAGACATCACAATCATCCAAGGAGATTTCAATGCGAAGTTGGGCGAAGGGCGTTATGAAGACATAGTGGGTCCTTTTGGACTGGGAGAAAGGAATGACAGAGGTCAGAAGCTCCTGGAGCGGGCTCATTCTAAGGACTATATGATTGGAAACACCTGGTTTACGCAACATCCGAGAAGATTGGCAACTTGGCGAAGTCCAGGGGACAAATATAGAAATCAGTTAGATTTTATCATGATCAAGAAGAGACCATGCAAGACATATCCCGGTGCAGACTGTGACAGCGATCATTACCCAGTAGCATCAAAGTTATGTCTACGACTGAAAAAAAATGAAAGTATCAAAAAGGGGAGAAACAACTGGCTCTGACCCTCCTGCGTAGTGAAGAGATCAGAACACAGTATACTGTCAAAGTGAAGAACAGATTCGAAGCACTTCAAGGCGAACCTGAAACAACTTGAAAGAATGTTTTATCACTGCCGCAAATGAATCCCTGCCTGCAAAGAAGACAGATCAAAAGAGTAAATGGATGACAACTGAAATTCTGGAATTAATGGAGACAAGAAGAAGGGGTAAGAATGTCAACAATACGAGTGAATACAAAAGAATAAACAGAGAAATCAAAAAGAAGTGCGATGAAGCTAAGGAAGTGTGGCTTAACTCTGAATGCGAGAACATACAGCAGCTTTACATCAAGGACTCTAACACTATGCACGAGAAGATCCGGAAGCTTAGCGGAAAGAAATCATCCTGTGCTACTAGGGCACTAAAGGCAAAGAATTGAGGTCATCATGGAAAAAGACAAGATCTTGGAGAGATGGCAGAGTATATAGGATAATTATACAACTCTTAGAGGAATGAAAATTACACCTTCAGAAACAACTTTGAAGGACCACCCATCTTGCAAGACGAGGTATGTTATGCCTTAAGGAAAATTAAACATGGCAAAGCGTCAGGACCAGACGGGGTAACCATATAAATGTTCGATGCTCTGGAGGAATATGGGATAGACCTGATTACCACCTTAATTAACAACATCTATGATACAGGACACATACCATCAGTCTTCTTAAAATCAACTTTCATAGAATATACTTTCCTAAGAAGCCAGGAGCTATCAAATGTGGACACCATAGGACCATCAGCTTAATGAGCCATCTTACCAAAGTACTACTGAGAATTGTGATGCTTAGAGCCAGGAAGAATATAAAGTCAGGAATAGCAGACGAGCAGTATGGATTTGTTGAAGGAAAGGGAACATGAAACGCTATATACATACTGAGGACATTATCAGAAAGGGCTATAGAGGTACAACAATTCCTGTATCTGTGCTTTCGACACAGTGAATCATGAAACCATAATGAAGATCCTCGAAGACAACCTTGATGGGAAAGATCTTAGAATCATTCAGAACATGTACTGGAAACAAACAGCGGCCATTAGAGTAGACAACGAGCTTAGCCAGTCCCAAACTATCAAGAGAAGAGTCAGACAAAGATGTGTCTTATCACCAGACTTGCTCTCCTTGTATAGTGAAATGATCTTGCGAAAAATCGAAGGCAAGCCAGGTGTCAAAGTTGGAGGGCAGAACATCAACCTGAGGTATGCTGAATACACCATCCCGATTGCAGGCAACGAAGAAGACCTCCAGAGCCTGGTTAACATCATCAATGAGGAGAGTGAAAAGATGGGACTAGGTTTAAACATGAAGAAGACAGAATGCGTGGTAATGACTAAGAAGAAATGTACACCTACATGCAATACAGAATGGCAAGACATTAAAGCAGGTAGAAAAGTTCATATACATTGGAACCCTAATAACAGCAGACGCTGTAGAATTGCCCAGGCAAAAGCTGCTTTTCAAACTATAGGGAACATCCTGGCAAACAGAGAAATCTCTATGAATGTCAGGAAGGGGTTCTTAACACCTATATCTACCAATTCTAACGTATTCCTCCGAAATGTAGTTTCTGCGCAGGATACTCGTATATCCTACAAGGATCATGTCAAGAACGAAAATGTGCTGAGAAGGGCTGAAACATCAAGATCCCTTCTAAATTACATTAGAATACGCCAAGCAACATTCTTTGGGTACATCATGCGAAAGCTTGGAATGGAGCACACTATAACCACTGGAAAGATCTGCGGTAAGAGGGAAAGAGGGAGACAGCGAGAGAAGATGCTGGACGGCCTCACGGCATGGCTACAAACATCAAACCCTTCCAGCACCATCACCAGCATCTGGAATCGAGAAGAATGGAGAACTATGATCGCCGAAGCTGCAAAGCATGGCACTTGAAGAAGAAGAAACACACATGCACACACAAAGGCAGATTTTTTTTTTTTTTTTTTTTTTAGCAAACCTGGCTCAAGCAGGCCTATAGCCGATTACGTACATCAAATAATTAGCTGTTTGTAGTAAAATGGAAATATCAATATTAACGCAACGTTGTATAATTATATGGTAACATGAACAAGCTACTTTATAACAAAAAAGACCTACCTTTTCAAAGCTAGTGTCGTTCCATCTTTAGTGGATGTAGACTTCCGGATCCGCGGGGCCTCTGCTGCAGCCTGCAGGTGTCCGATTCTGACTAATTAGGGCCGTTAGAGCCCCGTTACCTGAATCTTTTATGTCCAGTTTCCGAGTACCTGCGAACTGCCAACTACTCGACGCTCACCCATTTTCACAAATTCGGGTAACAGGCACTTTTAAGCCTTCAGCAGTCCATATTAGATGGTATAAAAAGTATCCATTTACATTTATACTTATTTAAGTATGCATAATTTTGCTCAACGTCGTAAAAATAAGTATTCAAATAATTCTTTCATATCCATACTGGGAACCCTGGACTAGTGGCCATCAAATACAGGTAGGGTCGGCAAGGCACAGGTGGTTGACGGCTTTCTTATTAGTGTCGACATTATTTAGCCTTTTATTTATTTATTTTTTTTTTTTTTAGCCTTTTATTATTTAGCCAAAAAAAAGGATTCTCTTTGTTTCAATGTTTGTATTCAAAGAAATACAATCAGGAACGAAAGCGTTAAAACTAATGAAAAAAATATTTATTTGATAAAACCGAGACTTTTTTAGGAATGTGATTTTATTATTTCTGTTCTTACAATTTCAATTCACTATGTAAATTCATAATTCCCTCTTTGTTTTTCTTCATGTAACTCAATGGGTACACAACTTTTTTCAGAGTTGCCGATGATTTCTAAAAGATGATATTGGTAAAGTTAATGAATGTGTGTGATAAGAGGGAACTGCTGATAACGTGGATGATAATGATTGCAGTGATGGCTATGGTGATCATAAAGTTTATAATGATCATAAGACTACGGAGAGAAAAGGGAAATATCTGTAATAAATAACAAAAATTGTGATAACTGATAATAACAATGATAACAGTGAAAATAGTGGTGCCACTAGTAATAATGATAAAGATAATAGTGATGGTAATAATGGTGATAAAGATAGGAGGGGTAACAATAATAATAAATACAATTATAATGACAACAATAATGATAATAGCAGCAACAAAATAATAATGATATTGATAACAATGATAATAGTAATAGTAATAATAATGACAATGATAATAATTAAAACAAGAATGATGATTATGATAACGATATTAACAACAATAATGATGATATTGTTATCATCATCATCATTACCATCACATTACTTTACCTTTACGTTTTATTATTTACAGTAATAAAAATAATGATAATGGTGATTATGTTGATAGATAATGATGATAGAAATAATAATTACGATAATGACAATAATGCTTATTATCAATATTGTTATTTTGTTTATTATCATTATCATTTTATTTATTTTATTATCATCATCATCATCATTATCACCATCTTTATTATTTACTATTATCATCATCATTATCACCATCATCGTCATTAATATATTTCTAAAATAATAACAGTAACAATGATTATTATTATTGCTGCTGTTGTTATCACAGTTACTGCTATTGCCATTATTACTACTAAATACTATTATTAATAATATAATTTTTATCATTACTATTATCATTATCACGAAATTATTATAACAATGATAATACAATTATTAATATCAATAACAATGATGATAATAAAGATGATATAAATGGCAATAATAGTAGTAGTATTTCTATTGCTGCTATTGTTATTTTTCTCATTACAATGGTTTTAACAATAATAATAATAATATTTGTAATAATAACAATAACGATAATAACAATAGCAATACAATACTAATGAGAATAATAACTAATATCAACATCAACCAATGAGCTTGTGGGCAGCGATCGCAAGAAAAAACATGAACTAAAAATTGGATGATGATGACTGATGTGTTGATGCTGACGAGACGCCGCACGATGGGATTAGGAGGAAGGATGGATGGACGAAGGAGGCGACGACAGGAGAAAAGAAAAGAAAAAAATAAGTGAAGGAAGAAACAGATCATAAGAGTAGCGAAAGCAAACATCTGAAAAAATGTAAATAAGTGAATCAATAAATAAAGTTCGGGAGCAATTGGAAAAATATATATATAATTTATCATAATAAATATAATAATCATAATAAATCCAATAGCTAAATTCTTACAAAATGAGGACGCTGACGAAGGAAGAAGTAAGCAAACAATGAAAAGAGTAAGAGAAATGTATATGAGGGGGAAATGGTTAGGAAATGCAACGAGGAATGGGAGAAAAGGAGAAAGAGAGAACGAAAGAGTAAGATGGTGAATGAGGAGAGAGAGAGATAGAAAAAGAGGGAGGGAGGAAGAAAGAGAGATAAGGAGAGAAGGAAACGAGTAGAACGAGGAAGAGAGGAAAGGAGCGTTCGGTTATTGCCCGAACGAAAGTCACTGAGACAAACGCGACCGCCGGAAGACATTTCCTCAAAGCGCCGTCGCTAATCATGACAGGAAAAGACTGAACCTTTGTCAAGCGTCATCGTGAATTCTCGCAGCGAATTATATTATGCAAAAGGCTCGACTGTGGAAACGGCTTTTGCATAATGGAAATGCCTTTGGGAGAAAAAAAAATAGAAAGAGAGACAGAGAGAGCGAGGGGGGGGGGGTTGGTAGGTATACAAAGAAGGCCTTGTAATATCAGTAAGGTAAACATTGCACACAATAAGTCAGCCAAAATTATGTATTAATTATGCTTCATGTTCCGATACAGATTAAAATTGTCACAACTGTAACTACATAAATGTAGATGGCATGGCGGTAGATTTGCATCCGCCATTTGACTGGTGCCAATCCTCTCTTTCGGGAGTATTTGTGTGGGTGTGAGTGCTCACAGGTATGGCTGGGTGTTGGAGATCGACGGGAGAGCCGGGGTGGCTCCCCC